CCCTGATCCACGTAAATAACTTTTCGACGCGAAGTGATGTTAAACAATGGTATGATTTTGGGAGGTTTATTTTTTCAGAAAACAAAATTGATGCTCGACTGTTGGATATAATTTGTCGTAGGGGGGGAGGGGGGTAAAAATAAATTTATTTAAAAACTTTCAAGAGCCTAATGCAACTTTACTGAAGTGCATTCGATGCTAATCGACTTGGATAAGATTCCGTTATGTTTGTCTGGCCCATTATACCTTTGTTGGTATTATCCCGGCTTCGTTAGGTCCCATTATGCTGTCGGGTATGAATAGTGCGTCGACCTTTTGGGCCCGATGGTGCAAAAGGTCCTGAAGCATAGAACGCGTGGATACGCAGTCGAGGTGTGAAAATTGTCATTCTGCATGGGCCTTATCTTTGTTGAGATTACAACTGTCAATGAAGTACATGATTTTGGGCCTGTCGATGGATTCGTATCGATCTGTAAAGTACTTTCGAAAATTCGAAAAAAGGACTCACGCAAGGCCCAAAATTTTGAATTTTAATTTAACCGTTATCCCTTTACGTATCCATGTCCCTCTCACGTTGGACTGCGTCGGAAACGGATGCTGAAGACGGTTACTCCAAAAATAGAGATCAGAATAGGGAGAAATTCCCCCCCCCCACCGAAAAACAAACTAACCCCCACGCGACATCCGCGCTTTATATTTAGTAACAGGGGTGAAGATTGCCTTGTCAGTAGCATCCCTCGGAAGTCACTCCCTTATTTATATCACGCCCTCTATATTTAGACTGTTTCTAAAAATTGGGTCACTAGTTCCAAATGCGTCTAAACGTCAAAATCCAAATTTCCCTTTTTACACTGTCTCGTATCGTATCTCAATATATATGTAATTATTAAATTTCACTCTACCACATCCCACGTATTTCTATACTCGTAACAAAATCCCCCCCGTATCGTCGTCCCTATATTATTTTTTTTTGTTCCTTTCTGGAAATCCAAGAACACCCCAAGAAAAGCAAAAGTATCGCGGTTATCGTTGAATTCGCCTGGCTTCCGGAAGTGGCGTATTTACACGGATAAGGCTTCCGTCTTGCCCACCTGTTGGTCTGTTAGTCCGTCTCATCTCTCTCTGTCTCTTTCTCTTCCTCTTACTCGTTCTTCGGTCACTGAGGCATCGCCGTCGACGTAGCAAAGGATAAAGAGAGACGAAAGATACGTACTCTACATACAGAGCGACTTTAAAACAGGATGGGCATGTACGTTGAAGCGAAGTTGAAGTAGGTGGATTCCTTTACCGGAAGGAATCACAGCTGAGGGCTCACCATTATTTTTCAAGCTTCCTTCATTCTCTTCTTCCATTGATACATCCCGAGCCTCGCCTTTGAAAAGGCAGTGCGATAAATTATCATGCAGGTTAACGGTATCCTGGTCTCGATTGCTTCCACTTGATCTATTAAAAATTTTTTTTTTTTTTTTTTATACTCATACTTCACTCTGCACAATATACCCACGACCAGTTTGAATTTTCGTCCTTGGAAAATATTCGTGTTTATTTCGGGGGGCCTGTTGAATATACTTTTCCTGGGGACCAGGGTGTCTTTATGGGAGTAAGCGAATATAAGGTAGAGATACCACGTGCACGGGGTGCGCTTCAGCTTCGTCCCTCCCGACGAGACTTCCTGCGGAAGTCGGACAGGATTTTTTTTTAATTCTGTTTAGTCCTGGTACCTTTGGGAGACGTCGAGAGCGAATGGGGGTGGAATTTTCTGGGAGACGGAATTAACGTTTCCTGTAAGTTTTTCGTAAAAGATGCGGAACGACGCGTGCCACGTATTTTTCTAAAAATAGGTCCTTGGCACGCGACGGCAATCTTCGTCCTGCTTTACGGTAAGGATGCCATGGAAATAATTTTGACGTATGTGTATTTTGTATTTTTTTTTTCCCTTGGTCCAGAATTTTATAATTTTCCAGCATCCCCCTTACTACGTATTTTTCTTATATCTGTCGAGAATCCTCGATCAGGAGTTATCCTTAGCGAGGGACAGTCGATAAAATTCTGAGGAAATTTTACGAGAGTCCTGCCAACAAGCGTCCCGTGGACGTTTTCGTATTTCTTAAGGATGGGTCCCACTAGAAATCCGACTTTATCGGCTTGGGGATTTCTTTTGGCTCCCGTCGAGTCCTTAAGTTCTTCCTTGCCCTTTCTTGGCTCAGACTATCGGTCGGTAAGAAGGCATCGAAGTACGAGAGATCCTTGAAGCGCGGGAATCTGCGAAAAATACGTTCCCCATATAATCATTTTCGTTTATTCGTTGCTCAGACGCTATTTTTTTTTTTTTTTTTTTTTTTTTTTTTTCAATCCCCCATA